GGGCTAACTTGGGGTATACTTTCTTGCTCCGACTGATCGTACACATCTCATCCTTCCTTGGTTACTTTTGAAAACAATTTTGAAAAAAAAAATCCTTATTTTGAGTCTGGATTACAACAAATGCTCATCCAATTCTCTCAAACCATGGCTCTTATAGCAACTTGTATCATACAAAAAATCACGTTAAAATTTTCATTTTCAATTTAAGTAAATATCATTGTTTCAATAAGAACCTAAGTCATCAAGCCAAGTATCAGATAAAATTATGCCAAAATCGGAGTATGATAAAATCTCGAAAACATACCACTGAAGGATGAGTACGATCGCGCCTTCACCTTTCCCTATCCACTTAAGTACCTAAAACCATAAAATCAAATAGTAAGATAAAGCTTTGTGAGTTCGCCCAAAGTACCACGCTTGTGCAAACAGATAACAACATACATTTATGAGCCTTCAGCATTACTAGACTGCCTCACAGGGACTGCCTTCTATTTGGACTGCTCTCCAAGCCTTCGGCCTAACCGAACCACCTCGTATGTAAAATTTTGTTTAATTAATAAATAAATAGATAAAATTGATGAACGAATAGTTGCCCTAAATCCGTATTATTTAATGGGGAATGGGTTTTAAGAAGCCAAATGTTATAAATCGGATCATTCAGGGGCTAAAAAGTAATTTTGGAATTTATTTTGAAAATATTTTGGAGGCCAAGGGACTATTTGGTAAGTATTAGACTTAAATTGTAAAGGATTTCAGGAGCCTGGATTAAAAAGGGAAATTTCGGACTTAAAATCAAAGGAATTGGGGGAGCGGGGGTATAAAGAGTAAATTTTGGGCCTTGGTTGCAAAAGTGTTTACGGGGAGGGACCGATTCTGCCATTATGGCAATATGTTTGTGTACCAGGTATATAAGCGTATGAAACCCTAAACCTAAGGGTGATTGGCTGCCGCTCTCCCGTTTGCGGCCGCAAGCCTCCCGACCCCCACCACCAGTTGTGTTCCCTTGCCTGTTGAAGCCGGAGTGCAAGTCACCAGCCACCGGGAAGCACCGGATCATCCGACGTTGTTGTTGATTCAAATTACCGACGAAGAAAGACGCCAAGGAAGCGTCCCGACTGTCGCGGCGTTCATTTACGGTTGTGTACCCTCACTGCCTCCCCGCCGTAATCAACCTCTCCTTCCTTTTCTGTGCATCGTCAGCCATATCACCAGTACCGCCAATTGAGATGACGCCTCCGAGGTGAACCGCCGTCTTGCGCTGTTGCTGTGATTATTATTTTTGGGGTGGATTGCCACCGTTCTCCCACCATAAACGCCCCTCCGTTCCTGTTCACGGCCGGACTCGTTCACGGCCCGAAGTGATTGTGGTGGTTATGTTCGATCGTGATGTAAGTATGAGGCTGCTGGATTGACGCTTGGCCGGAAACCCGAATGAAAGACCACACTGCCACCACTCGCCACCGTCGGCCACCACCAGGTGGTTATATGTGTGTGTGTGTGTGTCATTTTAGGACTAAAGCCTTGTAAAATGTAATAGAAAATGGAATAATGAAAGAAAGGAACCCTAACCACCACCGTGAGGTGGTGGCTGCCGCCACCGGCCGATGTGTCGGGTGGCGGTCTGCCTCGTTGGTATTGAGACTCGTATGGGATGTTTGGATAAGGGACTAAACCCTAATGGGCCTAATGAACTCTAATTGATCAAATGACCTAGCTATTGGGCCTATTGGGCTAAGATGGGTTGGAAACCCTAATTAGGGTTTGAAAAACCCTAATGTCATGAAACCCTAATTTTGGGGTTGATCGGGACATGCTCGGGAATTATGTAATAAACTTAAATTATTAATTAACAATAAGTGGCAAATTAACCTAAAGACAATATTGGACTTAATAGATTAAGTCCTTAATGGGTTAAGTAGGAACACTTAACCCTAATCGATATTTTATGTGAGAAACCCTAAATTGGATTTGGGTTCTTATTGGGCCAATTGGGAACATGTTATGGACTGAGGAAATCATTGGGCCTTAGGATAGGACCCGTTAGAGAGGCTTAGGCCCAATTTGGAAAATTAGGCCATAAGTGGGCCACAACTGGGACTTGAGGATTATGAGAGTTTGGGCTGTGGGAATGCCCAATGTTTGGACTAGAATGATTGGTTGGGCCTTAAAATGAGTCCATGTAGAGGTGTGGGCCTATTTTGGAAAATTGGGCCATATGTTGGGCTTTGGCCCATTACTTGGCTTTTGGGCCTTTGGAGTGTGATTTGGACCTTGGGCTTGGTACCCAATTATTAATTGGGTATTGTTTGATGTTGGCAGTTCGGGAATCAGTCAACCAACCACTGGAGTGGCAACCACGGGACTTCAGCAGTGCGAGGTGAGTCTTCTCACCATACCAATGAGTCTAAGGCACCAAGGCCGGCCCATGTTATGTTATGTGGTACACTAGCTGTAGTAGGGATATGTGGTATGATAGATAGTTGTATGCTAAATGGTATGCTAATGATTATATGCTATGTGATATGCTAAATGTCTTTGTGATACTTGCATGGAAGACTCCGGGGGGAGCCCATGGCAATTGGATGTAAGACCATGTGGGGTAGCCCACGACATTCCTAGGTGAAGACCATGTGGAGCAGCCCATGACACGTTGGATGTAAGACCATGCGGGGTAGCCCATGACATTCCTAGGTTTATGTATGCATGGCTTATGTGATATAGGTAGCTTTTATAGCTAACAGGATATGTGATATGTGGATTGTGTGTGTGGTATGCTCTGGGAAACTCACTAAGCTTCGTGCTTAAAGTTTGTTTATGGTCCCAGGTATCATCGATTTGGAAAAGAAGGGCTCGGATTGATCGCAGTGCACACACCTATGATTTCCGCAATTATTGATTTTGGGATGAACTCTGATAAATGTTTTACTTAATGATGACTTGAGGTGTTTGAAATAAATGGTATCAATGTTTTAGCTATATTAAAAATAAAATTTCTACCATTGATTTTTGGGTTGTTACATCGTAGGGCCTACAACTTATCCGGAACGCTATCCGGCCTACTGCCTAAGTGGACCGCCTAACAGGGCTATAGTCTATTCAGACCACTCTTGGTATCTTGGCCTTCAGCACAAAGCAAGACTTCCCCGAGTATCTTGGCCTTCAACACGAAGCACGACCACCTCAATCCAACAATGACAATAACACGTCGACATATACAGTAACATTTAATAGCCAAAAAATACAAGTAATCATACAAATGTACCATTCTATCCAATAAGCAACATAATATCATCCAATTTACTAGGATACATAATCTAGTAGGCCGACATTGGTATCATCGACCGATAAGTACAGTGACGAAAACTCACCTCACAGTTTGAAATTTAGCTAGGCAGATCACTGCCCCAAAAGCTATCTCTATCGGTCACCATACAATAAATAGTGACCTAAATTCAAACTACTACTCAAATTATCCAAAATGGCCTTAAGTCAAACTTGGTCAAAGGTCAAAGGTCAAGGGTGAAAGGTTAAAAGTCAAAAAGTCAAAAGGGTCAACACAGACTGTAGGTTATTTGTTAAATTAGTAGTTGTGAGACCCGTATACTATATGAGTTTATTAAAAAAAACATAGGTCAAATATGAGGGTTTACAAATTTAAGAGTTTGAATTTATGAAGAAAATAAGAAAAATATTAAATTATTGAAATTAAAGTGTTCATTTCACTTTTAAAGTAAAACAAATAAACTAAAGAAATAATTGGGTTTTAATTTAAGAAATTTGAAATGAGAAGGAAAGTTGCACTAATGATATTGATATCTATTTATTATTACATTTATTACAATTATTACATTTAATTACAATGTGAAATTTAATAAAATGGGAAAAAAAACCATAAAATGAAATATAGAAAAAATTTTATTTAAAATAATCACAAAATGACATGTAGAAAAATGATAAAGAGTGTGCATGTTTCAATCTTTTTTAATAAAGTAGATCAGGAGATTGCAATATAGAAACAAACTGAATATAATATATTGAATTACATTATAAAGGAGTCAATAACTTAGAACAACATTTATCACATTTCTATCATAAATTATCATCGGATCGGGTATTGTAATTTTTAGAAATTGATAGAAAGGGACTTCAATTATTAATGAGAAATTAAATATCCTTTTTTTCGAATGGCGAATAACATTTTTAGCACAAATCAAAAAGACTCAGGCAAGAAGCTTAAGCTAAAAACAAAGAGTCTAACCGGATATAGGAGAACATTCGTAAAAGGAGACGTACACCAAATCGACCAATCAAGATAACATATATTGGAACTAAATTAAATTCAATTATATGTGCTAATGGAAATATCAACACCAACTTAAGGTGGAAAACGTGATCTTCAACTTAAGCTTTTGAACTTTTTTGTCACTAGCCTTAGAATTCAACATCTCCAAAAGATCCTTCCACAAATCAGAAGGTTTCTTGAATACCGCAGCCCACCCCAGAAGCCAATCCATAAACCCTTCACCACCTCACAATTGAAGAAATCGTGATCTAGAGTCTGAACGATAATACTCCTATATTTTCTTCCTACGTATCCTTCTACTCATACTGAAACTGTGACATACATATTAAAATATTTTTAGTTTGATTAAATGTGACACATGTCACCATTTGACATGGGTAGGTAGATTATTAATATATCTTTGCATACAATAGAGAATTATGTGTTTTTTTGTGCACAATCGACATAGTTTGGCTTTCTTATAAATAACCTTCCTAGAATTCATATGGACATATTTTTCTGGATGCTCAATTTATCTCCGGTTAAATAAAATATGTAAAATAAATTAATAAACGTGAAACCTACTAACCTAGAGCTTTGGATTAATTGGAAATGCATTCCAAGAAGTCCGGCCCTTGAAGCAACCAATTGGGGGAATTGGGAAAATCATCAAAACGCGTCTCCAAGAACATAAGTTGCAGCGGATTTAGTCCAATAATTAAAACTGCCTGCGGTTGGCAAACGGTTTCAATTCTTTAGACACCTGCCGCATCCTCGTCGACATATTTTGACCCACATGAGACCTCTTTTCCAACCCTTTAGGTAACAAATTCAGTTGTGGATCTTCCACGTCAGCTTTGTCACCCGTTTTCACACTGAACACAGACATCGAGTCGTCACGGACGTCCAAAGTGATTTCAACATACTCATCATCGTTCGACTTCACAGTAGTGCGGCGGTGGTCTTCTATCTTTTCTAGTAACTGTTTGGCTTTTCTTTTTTCCATATCCGTACCATGTTGTAGTAAATCCATCAATTTCTCCACGACTCCATGTTGTAGTAAATCCTTCAGTTCCTCCAAAACTGCAGCTGCATACTCTTTGTTTGTCGGCGATCCACTCCCAATAACCTCAACCAGAACAGGCACAACCTCTGCCGTACCAATAGCCAACTTCCCTTCTTCGTGGCTTGAGAGTATGGCTAGAATGGATAATGCTTCCTCCTTCAACACACCCTGTGGTTCGGTCAGAAGCTCCATCAAAATGGGGACTACACCCGCCTTCACCGCCCTTCCTTTGTTATCCCGATCTAAACATAAATTAAACAAAGCAATAATTGCGACCTTCTTCCCTTTCTGAGTACCTGTACTCAACAGTAATACCAGAGGTGGGATAGCTCCTTCAGCACCAATGATTGCCCTGTTTTCGTCAGTTACACAGACGCTTGAAATGGTATCAGCTGCATTCTCACACGCTTCCATTCTACCTACCTTCAGCACAAGAACAATTCCTGGGACAGCCCCGCAAGAGACTATGAAGCCTTTGTTTTCTTCAACATTGGATGATTTCTAGAATACCATTCTACACATGTGGTTTTAATTTGTCAAGAATGGGTGGTAGCATGTTTGTCAAGAATGGATGGTAGCATGTTTGTCAAGCTTGGATGGTAATAGACAATTGAATTCATACATTCATTTGCCTATAAAAGGAAATGAAACCAAGCTTATTAAAAACACCACACCTCAAATTACATCTTCATCTTTCTCTCATATTCATACAAATATATATTTGATATATTTGTTTTTCTTTCCTCTATCTCTGTAAACACTGAATATTATAGTAAATTGGTTCTCGGCTTCCTCCGCCCGTGGTTTTTCCCGATTTGGGTTTCCACGTAAATATCGCGTGTTTTTTCTTTTTATCGTTCGATTTATTCTTGGTTGATTATTCAAATAGTTTTATATTCCGTTGAATCGCTATCGTGATATTTGGGTTTTATACTTCGATCTTGAAGTTATCGATTATTTATTGTAGTCGATTTGTCTACAATTGGTATCAGAGCTATCCGGGTTTTCCGATAACGATTCGTAAAAACTATTTTCAACCATGTCATCGATGAAGTACGATATTCCTTTACTTGACAGAAACACAAGATTCCCTCTCTGGCAAGTAAAGATGAAAGATGTGTTGATCCAAATGGATCTCCACAAAGCACTATTAGGAATGGAGAAAATGCCGGCAACTTGGTCGACTGAGGAAAAGGAGATGAAAGATCTGAAGGCATCGTCGCAGATCCGTCTGCATCTTTCTAACGACGTTCTCCAAGATGTGTTGAAATAGACATCCGCAGCGGCTCTCTGGCTAAAACTCGAGCAGCTACTTATGACGAAAAGCTTGCCCAACAAGCTACACTTGAAGCAACGACTTTTTAACCTAAAGATGGGTGAAGGTAGTTCTTTGTCTGATCACCTCTCTACCTTTAAAGAGCTTGTAGGAAATCTGGAGAATATGGACGTCAAATACGAAGATGAAGACTTGGCGTTATTTTTATTATCTTCTCTCCCAGACTCCTACGATCACTTTCGTGACACCATTATCTATTCTCGGGACACTCTTGTCCTTGAGAGGTAATGACTGCTCTTGATTCAAAGGAAAAGATGAAGCAGATAGTTGGGAACAGTAGCAGCGATTCTAAAGCCGAAGGTCTCAACATCAGAGGGAGACCTAACGAGAGAAGTAGCTCTTCACAAAACCGATCTAGATCTAAGTCCAAAGCCAATCGCAAGTATTGCAATTATTGCCACAAGAAGGGACATCTGATCGATGAATGTTTCAAATTAAAGAACAAGGAAAAAGCAAAGGCAATCGCAAAGGGAAAAACAACCAATAACACCGTTGAAGCCGATGTTGCCGAAACTGGTTCCGATGGCGAGCTTCTATTCGTTTCAGACTACGGTTTAATGACCACGAGTGAGTGGGTACTTGATTCAGCGTGTACTTTCATATGAGCTCCAACCGAAGCGTTTTTCATTCATATGAAAAGGTTAACGAAGGCCACGTTCTAATGGGTAACGACACTTCGTGTCGTATTATTGGACGGGGTACACTCAGGTTCCGCATGTTCGATGGCGTTGTTCGAACGATTCAAGATGTGAAGCACGTATCCGGTCTTAGGCGAAATTTACTAAGTCTCGGTACTTTCGAGAAGAAAGGTTACGAGTTTGTTGGCAAAGACGGGAAACTCCATATTTTCAAGGAAGGTTCTGTGGTCATCCGAGGAGTTAGAAAATCTGCAAACCTTTACATTATGGATTGCCTGTTCCTCTGTCTGGGAATTCGGCATCATAAGTTGGTATGTGTAAATACGGATGGCGACACGGTTATCCTCCATTATTTTTCTTAGGAGTTGGATTTCAGCAGCGGATAGGCCGTCAGGACTGGTGGTGTTTAGTTTATCAAGAACACTTTGTATCTACAAAAATGCAAAACTATTTAATATATAGGGAAAGGTGACCGAAATTAAACTATCATGTTGGAAACTCGTTAGACAGATAATATTAGATATGGTTCGAATACAGGGGCAAGGCAAGGTTAGCTATAAGCAAGGTGGGTCATGGGACCCACCTAATTTTTCAGTTTATCTAAAAGTCCTATAGAATTTTTTTAGGGACCAACTTTATCCATAAATTTTTTGAATTTTTATAGATAATTTTCTAAAAAATATTAATCAACCATGTAGTTTTCTATTTTAGGCTTCCCACTAGTTCAATATGGTAGGTAAAAAACACAACAAAATTTAATCTTTTTGACCAAATAAAACTTGTCATATCTATATGAAAATACACACGAGAAACATTTTCAATCACGATGGTTTGATTATAATTCATCTGATCCCTATGATATGTAAAGATATATTCTTTTTTACCGATCAACGGTTTTGTAAGTTCAGTTACTAATTGTTCCCATACAAAAGCTGAGATGTAGATATGTGATCCGTCGGTGTATTTTTGTTCGTTTTGAACATTAATGCCTCAAAGGACAATGGTGCAACATTAAGTAAGCAAAAATAACTCTCTAATTTTTGGAGAAAAACGTAATTGATTAAAATAATTTTACGAAAATTTATCATGTTGTATCATCCAAATGTTGTATCATCCAAAAGTACTTTCTTTTTGCATATGAAACTAATTTTTCTTCAAAAATAATCATTTGAAAAGACTTACTTGAATAGTTAATGCTCCCTCAATCCTCTCAATGACCTTGTCCATCCTAGGGCGTTCCCTTAAATTGAAACTAATGCATTGATATGCAATTTCTTGGAATATATGATAAGAACTACTATCAATTTGATCACTTATATGGGGATCAATTATGTTGTGTGGCTCCTTCTTACAGTATCGTCGGACTGAAGTCATGAGAAATTGCCGCTCATCGTCTCTGGTGATCATCTCATGATAAACCAACATTCCACTCAGGATTTCAAAAAGTACAGCGCCAAACGAATATACATCAGATTCTTTTCTGAGGATACGACTTTCATGGTAAGTAGGATCCAAGTAAAATTGGGTACCCGCAACCCTTGTATGGAGTTGGGTATCTGGCAGATTTCTAGGTCCCAATTTTGACAAGCCAAAATCACAAACTTTTGCAACCAAATTGTCATCTAACAATATGTTAGAACTCTTCACGTCTCTGTGGTGCTCCAAAAGACCCGAGTGAAGGTAATTCAGTCCTCTTGCAGCCCCAACACAAATCATCAGGCGTTGTATCCATGACATGCAACGCATCTTGTATGGGTCTTGTAGATGATGATCAAGGCTTCCATTTATGGGATACTCATAAACTATAATCATCTCTTCGCCTTCATCACAATACCCAATGAAACAGATGATATTTTCATGGTGGAATTGTGATATCATCTCAACCTCGTTGCGGAACTCACGCTCTCCTTGATGGCTATCCTTACCCAGTCGTTTGATAGCAACTGTTAGGTTTTTCCAATGTTCAGAGAGTTGTCCTTTATAGACTGCACCAAATCCGCCACTCCCAATAAATCTTTGCTGACTGAAATTATCGGTGGCACGGATAATCTCCTCGAGTGGAATTAGATAATTTTGAAGGTTTACCCCTGAGGAGGACATTGTCATTTGATATTGCTGAAGTTCTATGGATATGATAATTTCTGGGTGTACAGATTAACAGCGCAGGGGCTGGGCTGTTCTTGGTGGTTCTTGGCACACAGAGAGTGTCACCAATGTGATGATAGGAGGGCAGTAGCAGATGCCAGTTTCTGTAGGTGGTGGCAGAAGGTAAACCGTATTGCTGAGGTTTAGAGTGAAAATATATACTCTCATCTAAGAAAGAAAACATATATAAAAATCTATATATCAACACGAAGAATCAGCCAACTGGCTTTTATCATATTTCTATGTTAAATTATGATCAGATTACAGTATAGATAGAAACAAAATATAATATATTGAATCAAATTATAGAGATGTCAATAACTTTGTAGGTATTGTATTTTAATTATTTGTACAAATCGACTTCAGTTAATAATATATATTTCCATACAAAATAAATTTATGTTTATTTTTATTCACACTCAACTTCTTTTGGGATTTTCTTATAAATGTCTTTCCACAATTTACATGGGCGTATTGTTCTTTCTTGTTGGCACAAAGGAAGGAGCACTCCATGTGATAGTGAGGTCTATTTACACATGGTTATCTTCTTCCATATACGGTAATAGGGAATGTAATATGTAATAGAATGTGTGAATGGGTTTTTCAGAATTTTTATTCAAAATAATGTTGCAAACTAATATACTTGTATAGTTCCAGATGGGCAGCATAAATGAATACATTATCTATTAACAAGTATTGCCACAAATATTATCAAAAGAAATTAACCCAATAAAGAAATTGCACAATTTAGTCATACAATTCGAATATATAAATAATGTGCCATGCAAAAAGTCAACGACAGAGGTGCCTGCAAACAGCTACACCAAAATAATCACCAGATTTATTTTAAATTATGTATGCAAGCTGTTATTTGTAAAATTTTAAGGGAACCCGAACCATTGACTTTAGGTATCAATACACTGAATCACATGTTCGATTCTTTTTGCTTTGTATAGAAGATCTTTATTTTGTTAATAATGTCGGGTACTTCTTGGGCACTACATGTTATATTCTTTTTACTTTGTATAGAAGATATTTATTTTGTTAATAATGTCGGGTACTTCTTGGGCACTGTATTTATTTTTCCTTTTATATTAGATGTATTAGCTAAGATTACATAAATTTAATTGTGTGTGTGTGTGTGCAAAACAGAGGAAACATAGACTTTTCTTGGGCATAAAACTTGATTGTACTTCTTTCACCCCTACTACTTGTCTGATTACACGCCTAAAAACACCAAAATGAAAGATAAGGTTTACAGATGTTGCATTACTGCTAGGGTCCTAAAAACATGATAAACACATACAACAACATTAAATAATTAACTGCTGCTAATTTATCTGCACTCAAGTGGCAACTGGTCTGAGGCCCATATGGACCAAAACTAACCTTAAGCTTAGATCTCTTGCATCCTTCATTCCCATTTCTGCTTGCAAGCATTAAATAGTTATTTTGGAAGTGCTTTCGTGAAAATATCAACAAAATCAGATTAAATGCTTGCTTTTTAATAGGCATAAGGTTGGCTGCTAAATCAGATTTTTGACAGATTCTATAGTGCATCAAACGTAATCCAAATCCAATCTCCACCATTTACTTTAAAGATGTACAAGTTAGGAAGACCTGTGTAAAATTTCAGCTCTCTCCGACCACATTTACCCTTTGATCCGGCCACTTTATGAAGACTGCACATTGCTGCCAAATTTCCAAAACATCTTCAAATTGCTTCGTTTTATTGTTTTATTGTGGATGTTGTTCCTGGACTTCAGTCGTGGTTGTAAGGCCTTCCATGTGACTTTTATTGGTGCTCAATAATTTCATTACCTGCTTACATAAATCTGTACAAATTAAACGTAAACGAGTAAAATTGTCCCAAACTAGCGATGTAACGAAACGTACACTACTACAAAATAAGCCGAATGCAACCTTTCACTAGCAACCCTTTTAGCATTAGTTGCATTTGGTTATAAAACAACTTTGTTCAACATAATGGTTGCATTAAAAGATTTGATGCTACATTTTTCTTGAAAAGTTGCAAATTTTTGTGAAAACGGCAACTTTTGCTAGAAGGGTTGCATTGTTAAAATTTAAAAAGCAACCTTTATTTTTGAAGGTTGCATAATTATATATTATTTTAATACAAATTTATTTATATTCTCCCACTATATAAAAGTTAAATAGGTGCCTATTTTTTTATTATTAAACTTTCATTTAATTAATTCTTATTAGTTATGTGCCACTAATACGTACAATTAGGTTTTACACACATGTAATTTTTATTATCTGCACAAATTATATATTATAGAGAAGAACATAAACTTTTTTATTAAAATTTCTTAAAATACAAAATATTGAAATATAATATGAAGAGAAATAATTATGATAAATAATCTGTTTTTGTTTCCGATAAATACTTGATTTACCTATGATTATTTAACTAAATTTTCATTTGATATAAAATATGTTAATTGATTTTGATTTTCCTTCTAATAAAATTAAATATATTTTAATTTACCTCTTAATAAAGACGTTTTTTGATTTTTCCCTTCTAATTGTTCATTAAATGGATGTTAAAACAACTTTTAAATGGTGAACCTGATGAAGATGTTTAAATGAAACAATCAAAAGGTTTCGTTATGCCCGGTAAAGAGAATATTGTATGTAAACTTGTAAAATCTCTTTATCACGTGAAACAAGCTCCTAAACAATGGCATAAAAAGTTTGATGAAGTTATTTTTTCCTTTAATTTCAAGTTAAACCAATGTGACAAATGTGCTTATAATATATTTAATGATGCTACTAGTTTAGGAGTGCTCATTTGCTTATATATAGATGACATGTTGATTTTTGGTACTGACCAAGATTAAATCGATCAAACAAGGCAACTATTGTTATCTAAATTCTCCATCAAAAACTTAGAGAGGCTGATGTAATTCTTTGTATAAGGATTAAGATGACGAACAAAGGATTAGTAATGACTCAAAGTCATAATGTTGAGAAAATTCTCAGACGGGTCATTTTTAGTAATTGTTCTCCTGTGAGCACTCATATGGATTCAAGTGTGAAAATAATGCCTAACACTAGCATTCCTATTTCATAATTAGAATACTTTAAGGCTATCTGTAGCTTGATGTATGCAATGAAAAGTACCATACCTAATATTGCTTATATAGTGGGAAAGTTGAGCAGGTACACTAGTAATCCTAGTGGTCAACATTGTCAAATAGTTACTAGAGTATTTATGTATCTCAAGGGTCCCATGCATTAGGGGTTGAGTTATTGGGAAGTCCTTCGTTCTTAGAAGGTCATTAGGATGCAAGTTGGATAGCCAACAAGGAGGACCATTCCTCAACAACTAGTTCGGTGTTCTTGCTTGGGGGAGGTACATGTAGTAAACAAAGAAGCCAAGATTCACTAAAACGAAATAGCCCTAATGAATCAAACAACCCAGAAAGCTGAATCATGAGAACAATATTTGTTCAAGCGGAATAGGACTAAGATATCAAACCAGAATCAATCACATGCAATAAAAAATACCAAGAAAAAGTAAATCAAAAGAGACACAGAGATTTACGTGGAAAACCCAAATCAAGAAAAACCACGAGCGGAGGAAGACGAGAAGCAATCCACTAAAATATTAAAGTGTTTAAAAAGCTTGATCAAAGATATTACAATGAGCTATAATGATTTGCTGACAAAAGAGAAAAATGCTAAAAAAAATGTCGTTCAAGAAAGGATGTACAAGAAGATGTCTTCAAAACTCTATCTCTTAAAAGAAATTTGTGTTCATTGAGATTAAAGGAGAAAAGGGTTTGACCAATTTGGAAAAATTTGGTCCTTCAAGAATGGAATATTTGCATTTCAGGAAGAAGCCCTTTTTAGACCTGAAAACACCCTTTTTAGACTATGGCGCCCCTTTTAGACCTGAAACAACCATTTTAGACCTTGTTCCATTTTTAGACCCACAACAACCAAATTAGACCCAATGTTTTAAAAACCGGTTTGAATCGGCCGGTCGAACCGGTTGGACCGGGAACCGGGGAGAGAGCGATTCAACTATCACCGGTTTTATGTCGATTTCTGAACCGGATTGAACCGGCCGGTTTTTAGGAAACCCCGGTTCAACCGGTCAAAATAAACCAGTTAAACCGAATAAAACACATGGAAAAAAACTATTTGCATAATAAACTTTGATGATTTTTTTCAAATCTATTTAGTTTTCTCTAAATAAAAACGTATGGTAAATGTTATAATGTTTTTTGATG